CAAATTAAAAGAAAATATTTTCGTTCCTTACATTTTAAGACTTTAATTTCCTTTAGATTAAGACTACTTTAAAGACTGTAACCTTAAGAAATAGTGTATGACATATTTTACTTCTTTATTATTATTTACATACAGTTAAAATTTAAATAAAAATAACAATTTAACACATCATAATGCGACATAATAAAATCTGAGTATGCTGAGTAATTACATTTTTCGTAACAATTCTTAAAGGAATATACAACCTTAATGTCTACCTGGAAGTAGCTGCTGTAGCACATTTACAGTGGTAGAGCCACGCGGCAGCTTTGCTGTTGCACGTATGGGCCGGCTCAAACCGGGGTGGTACCACGACCTCACAGAATACCAGCGTGAAGTGGAAGCTCTGCTTCCGCGTTTCGTCTGGTGAGTGCAGGTGGCCGGAGGCCCAAATCAATTTGCCAAGACAAAGTCAGAGCACATAGGCAGAATTGGCGAGAAACTAGTTCGCCTTCCTTCTGGAACCGGTGCATTCTGGTCTCTCGCCAAGGCTGTCCAGGGGAATTTCTGTCAGCCATCTCTTCCATCTCTGCACAGGGAGGACGACTCACTGGCCCATACCGCAAAGGAGAAAGCCGATCTTCTAGGCTCTTTCTTTGCGTCCTACTCGACTCTCGATGACGGGGGAGTACGCCGCCGACCATCCCGCGGTGTGAGTGCTCCATGCCGGAAGTGCAGTTCACACAGCGCTCGGTTCGCAAAGAAGACGGCTTTCGTCCACCCGATCCCTAAAAAAGGCGACCGCTCAGACCCGTCCAACTACCGGCCTATCGCCATCACCTCCTTGTTCTCCAAAACAATGGAGTCTATTGTAAACTGCCAGCTCATGAGGTACCTTGAGGATCACCAGCTGATAAGTGACCGTCAATACGGTTTTCGCCGTGGTCGGTCAGCTGGTGATCTTCTGGTCTACCTAACTCATAGATGGGCGTAGGTAGTAGAGTCAAGGGGGAGGATGGCCGTTAGTTTGGACATTGCGAAGGCCTTCGATCGGGTTTGGCACAAAGCGCTTCTTTCGAAGCTCCCTTCCTATGGGCTTCCCGAGAAATTGTGCGATTGGATCACCAGCTTTCTTGCAGATCGGAGCATCAAGGTCGTTGTAGACGGTGCAAGCTCCGATTGCAAGCCTATTAATGCTGGTGTTCCACAAGGCTGCGTGCTATCGCCAACGCTGTTTCTTCTGCATATCAATGATATGTTGCAAACCCGTAACATTCATTGCTATGCAGATGACAGCACTGGTGATCCTCTTTACACCGGCCGAGCCAATATTTCTCGGGAAAACGTCTCCGAGTGCCGGGACTAACTTGTGTCTGAAGTCGAGTCTTTGCTGAACAGAGTCTCGAATTGGGGGCGACTAAATCTAGTCCAGTTTAACCCCCAGAAGACACAAGTTTGCGCCTTAACCGTTAAAAAGAACCCCTTTGTCGTATCTCCTCAGTTTCAAGGCACTCCCCTTGTTGCCTCAGCCAGTATCGGAATCCTCGGCGTTGACATATCGAGTGACGTGCAGTTTCGTGGTCACTTGGAAGAGAAGGCCAAGTTGGCCTCTAAAAAGCTTGGCGTGTTCAGCAGAGCGGGACAGTATTTCATGCCGGCACACCGCCTGCGATTTTACAAGGCGCAGGTTCGGCCGCACATGGAATACTGTTCCCATCTCTGGGCTGGGGCTCCCCAGTACCAGCTCCTCCACTTGACCGCATCCAGCGCAGAGCGGCTCGAATCGTCGACGACCGAGTGCTTTCCGATCGGCTCGATTCACTGGCACTGCGAAGAGATGTTGCATCTCTTTGCATTTTATTTGGGCGCTATATACCATGGAGAGTGCTCTGAGGAATTTTTCGGATTAATCCCAGCCGCCAAATTTCGTGAACGCACTACGCGGCAAACGTCCCGATACCATCCACACCATCTGGATGCTTGGCGGTCCACCACAGTACGTTTCAAAAGGAGTTTTCTTCCGCGTACAACCTCTCTGTGGAATAGTTTACCACCGGCGATTTTTCCGGACCGATACGACCTGGGGACCTTCAAGAAAAGAGCTTACTCCTTTCTAAAGGGCCGGCAACGCACCTGCAATTCCCCTGGTGTTGCGGTTGATCATGGGCGGCGGTAGTCACTTAACATCAGGTGAGCCGCATGCTCGTTTGCCCCCTCTTCTATAAAAAAAAATAAATAAAAAAAACATGGACTCCATAGGCTCCAAACAAGGAGGTCACAATTCTTTCTTCTTTTTAAAAACACATTACACCACACTAGGATTTTCTCCTGTATCGTGGAGGCAGTTTATATACATAAATTACACAAGGACAAACATTCAGACCTGGAACAATTATTTGTAGGCCGAATATTAACCATCTCATTTAGCCAACAGGCTGTAACGACTTGAAGTGACATTTCTTAGTAACTGACAAACCTTACAAAATACGTTTAACAAAAAATAAACCCTGTGAAACTTGACTAAATTTCTACATAAAAAACCTGTCAGTTGTAGGACTGCTAGACATGAAAACTTCTTAGCTTCACAAACTTGTAAACATTATTTTTGTATATATGTATGTCTGAACGTGACAGCCACGAGAATACAGCGCTTAACCACGTAAAGAAGTTTTCATTTCAAAAATTATGGAATCATAATAACATTTTAAAGCAGTCATAAGCTACTTTTTATAAAGGTAACACATAGGTAGTCAGTATGTTAATGGAAGACTTTTTTCTAATAAATTTCTATAGTAACTACTATAAAAAAGACATAAAAAAAAGATTCTTCTACAAAGCCAGGAAGGAACTAAATTAATAACAATAGGATATTTTAAATCATGTAAAAAAATCAAAAAATATATATTTATGATAGATTTTGAAAAAGTAAACGAGAGATATTGATTCTCTCGTTTACTTTTTTACAAAATCTTTTATATTTTAATTTTAAGAATAATTTTTTTCGTCTGTGCTTCAAAGCAAAACGCTGTCCGCCATATTAGAAACTATCGTTACGTCACAGATCCCGACTTAGAGTATTAGTGTTCTGTGTCACTGACTAATGTGCTGTGTTATTTCGAAAATTTTCAAGTTATCATTATGATTATTGAGTTTTATTCTGAATTTTATTGAAAAGGCATCATGAAATACGAATTCGTAAAAGCAGAAAGTACTACTACTAATCTACCAAAGATAAATAAATTGATGGATTGGGTGCACAACTTTTTGCATGCAATCCCAATTTTTGTTCTGATGCTACCATCATCATCATCGTCATCACAGCCCTTCACAAGTCCACTGCTGAACATAGGCCTCCCCCAAGTAATGCCACAAAGCACGGTCCTGAGCCACCTGCATCCATCGACTTCCTGCATATCTTACCAGGTCGTCACTCCATCTAGTGGGGGGTCGCCCTACACTACGCCTACCGGTACGAGGCTGCCACTCGAGAACCTTTCTTCCCCATCGGTTATCGGTTCTTCGAGCCATATGGCCGGCCCATTGCCACTTCAGCTTACTAATCCGTTGGGCTATGTCGGTCAATCTGGTTTTACTGCGGATATCCTCATTTCTGAGTCTATCACGCAGAGAAACTCCGAGCATAGCCCTCTCCATAGCTCGCTGAGCGACCTTGAGCGTCCTCATACGGCCAGCAGTGAAGGACCACGTCTCTGATCCGTAAGTCATCACTGGCAACACGCACTGGTTGTACACTTTAGTTTTCAGAGATTGAGGTATACCTGACGAGAAGATATGTCGTAATTTCCCGAACGCTGCCCAGCCGAGTTGAATCCGTCGATTGACCTCTCGGTCGAAGTTGGACTTACCTAGTCGGAATATTTGTCCCAGGTAAACGTACTCGTCAACAACTTCGAGCATAGTGCTCCCAACAACTACCGGCATAGGTGTGACATGGACATTAAACATAATCTTTGTTTTGTTCATGTTCATCTTAAGACCTATCCGTTGGGAGGCACTATTGAGGTCATTGAGCATAGTGCTTAAGTCCTCCAGCGATTCTGCCATAAGGACTATATCGTCGGCAAATCGAAGGTGAGTGATGTACTCGCCATTGATGTTAATACCGTATCCTTTCCAGTCCAGTAGCTTGAAAACGTCTTCCAAAGCAGCGGTGAAGAGTTTCGGGGATATAACGTCACCCTGTCTTACACCTCTCTGCAGTTGGATAGGTTTCGAGCTCTGGTTCTGTACTCGGATAGCCATCGTAGCCCTACTGTACAAACACTTCAGCACTTCGATATACCGACAGTCAACTTGGCACCGCTGAAGGGACTGCAGCACCGCCCAAATTTCGACGGAATCAAAGGCTTTCTCATAGTCCACATACGCCAGGCAAATGATGCTACCAACATTTGTATAAACAAAAACAAAATAAATCAGAGTGCATTTTGATAACATAGTTTAGTTTATCTATAATTACAATCATTAGAATTATAATACCTAAATTAAGGTAATTTATTACAAAATGTGACTTGTGATACCCTTCAATTCATGGTGTTTTGTTTTGTATAAACGAGAGTTAAATATAAGTCATACTATCTTTACAGAAGAAGTCTAGTTTTTGTAGACAATGTATTCGGGTATCTTCTTAATAGTTTTAACCAAGTATTTCTTATATTTAAATCAGTTGGCACTTGAATCCATAACTTTCATTTCATTTTTGGTTGATTATCACTCTAGGAATAATTTAAAACATTTTTCGAAAATGTGTGTAATACCCTATTTCATTAACTAAGCCTCTTCATCAACAACAATTTTATTATAATTTATATTTGCGATCGCTGTCACTTGGTGAAACTTTATTTTAATTTTTGTGATGTTCATTGATCTTAAATAAACAGATGATGCTGTAAGTCGAAACTAGTTGATTTTTATAGTCAATAAATTAATAATTTAAAATAACATTTTGAAACAAGTACTAGTGCTTAACCTAATCACAAAAATGAAGACAATTTTATTATTTAGGCTTTCTTCGGTGGTCTAGCTCCAAATATATTTGATCCAACACGAACTGTGGTAGCACCAAGTTCAATCTGAAAGTTAAACACGTTTGTGAACATTTTTACTTTTTATAGAAGATAAAATTAAATACTATTTATAAATTTTTATAATTAACTTCTTGTCTATTAACGAAAATAGTGAGATTAAATAAAATTAGTTTTAATATCATCAAAACTATCCTACAAAAAAAATTCCGTTTTTGGCAAATTTGAAGTTAATGATTTCTTAAATTTACGCAAACACTACACATTGAATAAAACTATATTTACGAATTTTAACGCGTCTAAGTAACTACTTGAACTTATTTTTAGAACCCGACGTTTCGGGTGCTTTACAGCACCCATGGTCACGGAGGAGACTGAGATGTTTGAAGTCCCAGTGTTATAGTTACCCTGGCTATCTATAGTTTTTAATCTTAACTTTCGGTCCGATCTATAGGATAGGAGCCCAAGCAGATGGCAGCACCGATCCATCTTCTTTATTGAAATTAGGATGTTTTTTAATTTCAATAGCCTCGCGGATCATCCTTGGTAGGAATCGGTGTTTTTGCGAGGATTGATGGTTTATCAAAACTGATGTAATGGTGGGGACGATTTTGAACATGTTTACAGACTGCCGACTTCCCGGAGTGTCGTTGCTTCACATCAGCTATATGTTCACGCGGGTTTTTAAGAACATATAGCTCAAACATCTGTCACCCCCGTGACCATGGGTGCAGTAAAGCACCCGAAACGTCGGGAATTTAAAAATAAGTTAAAGTAGTTATTTAAACGCGATAAAATCCGTAAATATATACTTTTTCTCAAATTTAAAATTATATGTACAAGTATCTTAGGCCAATATTTTAGATATAAGGACTCAAGCTCAAAAATAATTACATTACTGTCCACAGTATAAACATCATAAGTAAACTTATGTAAGCAGTGTGATAACATAGCTCCAGGAAGTAACATGTAAATTGTTAAACAGATTAAAGGATATAAATATGAGAAAAATACGCACTGCATGTTCAAAATCACTGGACATTCCCATAGACAGCTCTACATTGTTTAAGTCTAAATTCAACTTGTCACAGACTTCTTGCCGACATTTTGCCAGTGTTATAAAGTCTGGATTGGGGCCCTTGGAAACATCATAGTCATATTGGCCTATGGTCATCAAGCCAACAAACTCTAGATGTGGGCAATTCTTCAATACATATTCAACTAACTTACATGTTTCTGATGGCTCTATACCATTTTTAGCTGTAAAAATAAAAATATTTATTTGTGAATCCATATAAGTATAACCTTTATTAAAATGCTTTAAAATCGAAAAGATTTTTTGTATAAGATTTCTTTTTATAAGATCTTATTTCATAAGTGATAGTGATAGTGGTGTAGGTGCACTTTTCAATTGTTCTCTTTGAAATACCGGGTGGCCCATAAGTAAACTAATGACATTATGAAAAAGGTTTTTATTTTGTCATAAACCTTATAAAATGGGAATTATTTTTTGAAAATTACATCATCTAAATGTAATCCGTTACGATCGCGGCACTCCTGTAAGCGACGTTTAAAATTATCCATCACTGCGCGGCAAGTAAGCTCTGTAATGTTTGCCATTTCTCTTTGGATATTTTCTTTCAGGACGTCAATTGTCCGCGGGTTGGTTTCGTACACTTTAGTCTTAAGATAACCCCATAAGAAAAAGTCCATTGGGGTAATGGACTACGTGGTGGCCAAGGAATATCTCCTCTTCGAGAGATCACTTTATTAGGGAAAATTTGACGGACGACCGGCATAGCGACGTTAGAGGTATGGGCAGTTGCTCCATCTTGTTGAAACCAGGTCCGCGTACTGAAGGCTGGAAAATTCTGCAATTCTGGTGTAAAAAAGTCCTGGATCATAACTACATACCGTTGTGAAGTAACAGTAAGCGCGCGGCCTCTGCCATCCTCAAAAAAGTAAGGGCCTATAATGCCATGCGCTGACATAGCCGCCCAAACTGTCACTTTAGGGCTATGTAAGGGCTTTTGATGTTTGCGATTTGGATTTTCGCAACTCCAGTAGCGACAACTTTGCTTTTTGACATGGCCGTTGATGTGAAAGTGAGCCTCGTCAGAGAATAACACGTTATTAAACGAAGTAAAGCGGTTCAACATTTCATTTGCGAAATTTAGTCTGTGGATAGTGTCAGTATCTTTTAATTCCTGTACTATCTGAATCTTGTACGGGTGAAGATGTAAATCTTTCTTTAAAATTCGCTGTAACGATGTTCTGGGTAAGTTTAATGCACTGGAACGCTTACGAGTAGACTGGGTAGGATTTTCACGAATTGAGTGTTTCACTACATCGATGTTTTCTTCCGTCCGTGATGTCCTTGGTCGACCTGACCGTTGTTTATCCAACGTCGAACCACTCTCTTCGAACTTAATAACCCAGTTCTTAATCGTTTGAACACTTGGAATGTCTTTAAAGTTGCGTAAATTCTGATATTCTCGAAATTTACGCCGCGCAATGGTAGCCGAATCATTGTTTCGATAAAATTCGCGCACACAAAATGCACGGTCCGCACCGGTGAAACGCTCCATGGCGATTGAATTCCCAGAAACCGTTGGTACTCCCCCCGCACCGCGCGCGCCACTCATGCGCGCCTTTTGTATTTTATTCGAAATTTACATTTCTAACGACTTATGGGCCACCTTGTATATCAATGTAAAAAAACCGAAGGACACCAGCATGCATGTCAAGCAAGCTAGATGATTGCTCATCAATGCGAACAGACTGCTGACACCCTTGAAGATATACTTTGTTATAAAAAATATATTTTTTAATTACCTTCTTCCCCACTTGTGTTAATTTGCACCATAACTTTTAACTTTTCCTCATCTTTCCTGTGTTTCTGCCACTGTTTATTTAAATTATCAGCCAGTTTCTCTGAATCAACTGTCTCAACCATAAACAAGCCAGGAGAACCAAGCAACTTATTAATTTTATTTGTCTGCAAGTGACCTATAAAATGCCACTTTATTTCTTTACATTTTTCTAAAATAAGTGGATCACTAGCTTTATCCGCTAGTTCATTAACATAATTCTCTCCAAAATGCCTTTGTCCAGCTTCATAAGCTTGAACTATTAAAGATGCAGGTTTTATTTTTGATACTGCCACTAGTCTCGGATAAATCTGGGGAAGGTCCTGAAAAAGGAGGTAAAATATCACACTGTACATTAGGGATAATATTATTACCAATTTATATATTGTATATATATATATATATTCGCTTGCACTGCCTTGTTGGTCTAGTGGTTGTAGTAGTGTTACTGTTGATCATAGGGTCCTGGGTCGGGCCAAAAATTCAATTATTGAGTTTTTCCATCAAGAAATTCTCAGTGGCTGCCCAGAATCAAGAAGTTGGTGGTGTCTTACCCCCGTGCCTCGGAAAGCATATAAAGCCGTTGGCCCTGATCTTCTCTCATCATCATCATCATGATCATGAAAGTGAAGGAATAGAGAGTGCACCTGTGCTTGAGTATATACTTAGGCACTATAATGCTGTCCAGCGCCGATGGCTAGTCTCTGTTGAAGCAGGCCACCGTGACCGAAATTCGGTCTGGAGGACATTACATATATTCATACACACACATATGTTTGTGTGTGTGCATGTGTGTATATATATATATATATATATATATATATATATATATATATATATATATATATATATATAAAATTAAAAGTCATTGTGTCTTGGTCCTGTACTATACCAGTTATGTACCTTTAAATCAGTGTTGAGTAAGACACAATTTAGAAAAGTTTGTTGTAGTCTCCATTTTGTATTGAGCTAGTACAATATAACACACAAAACATGCTAAGCAAAATTATATATTTAATAAACAATTTGTTTTATTTCACAATTTATAAAGCATACTAGTGACCCGCCCAAATTTGCTCCGGTGATTTCTGGATCTCGCCAACAGCGCCATCTAATAGGCCCAATTGAGAATGCAAACTATCCAAACACACACAACAAATTTCATCAAAATCAGTCAAGCCCTGCTCAAGTGATGATTATTCATACATGCGGCAACTGATTTTTATTTATATAATTCTATATATCATACCCTCTCAGAGATGAGGGAAGGCCTGTGCCCAGCAGTGGGACATATATAGGCTGTAACTTTACTTATATATCATACATATAAACTTTCCTGTGGAACTATTGTCTATTGATGAAACTTGCTTCAGAATCCATTGCATAGTTTTTTTTTCTTCCATATTAACCATATCACCATATCATCTTGTGATTGAATTAAACTAAATTTACGGGTTTTATCGCGTTTATTTCACTACTTTTACTTATTTTAAATTCCTGACGTTTTGGGTGCTTTACAGCACCCATGGTCCTGAGGGGGGACTGAGATGTTTGACGTCCCAATGTCATAGTTAGTCCAGCTATCTTCAGTTTTTGAATATTAATTTTTGGTCCGATTTACGCAAAACAAGCTTATAGTATCATGAAGTCTTGCAGTGGTATGCTTAGGTTTGGGTTTAATTTTGTTAATTATAGGATCCCAAGGAGGTGGCAGCACCCATCTACCTTCTCTATTGAAATTTGGATGTTTTTTAATTTCAATAGCCTCGCATATCATCCTTGGTAGGAATCGGTGTTCTTTTGCGGGGATATGTGGTTTATCAAATCGAATATAATGGTGGGGACGATCTTGGAACATGTTCGCAGACTGCAGACTTCCCGGACGTGAAGCACCGACGCTCCAGTGTGTGTAGTGTTCGTGTAAATTTAAGAAATCATCATCTCGTGATGTTGTAAGAGTCGACGACGTAGGGAAACAAGTCATGAGATAGCCAGTAGCGCCTTCGAAACAACTAAAACTAAATAATAAACTGTGTTTGAAAACGACTTTCAATAAGTATTCTTGTAATCTATATTTAATAAAAATGATGCTATTCTATTTATAATTTCCACAGACGGTGGGAAGCGACTTTGTTTTATACTATGTAGAGTAGGTGTTGTGTTGTTTACTATTTGGTGGTACAGCCAGAGAAAGTGTCTACACACCTCTGCTCAATTGTCGGTTAGATAACTTACAAACACCCTACAGGTGATCTAGTTACACATTTTAAGAACTTATCCAGCACTTAACTAACTGCAATCTGTATATGTAACCCTAGATCTCTGAACTGATGGTGACTTTTATAATTTTGTTCAAGACAGGTGGCATTGTGCAGTGCGGTGCGGGGTGAGAGGAGGGAGGAAAGTTTCCAAGCGACTGTTAGTAGCTCGGGAACTGTCTACTAGGGTTGTCCAGTCACACAAATAAATTAAAGTGAGTTATATAAGTTGTTGTCACTCAAAAATATGTTATAAACTGCTTATATGTTAATCGACAGTTAACAATTTTTTATTTTTTTGTAACTGCTTATTATAACCTAGTATATTTGTTATTTCTGAAGACAAATTGTCTGATTCAGTTATTTAATTTGTTAATATGTGATATAAAATATGTTTTTATTTTTTTATTATACACAATGACTGACTCTATGTTTCTCTATCCAATATCTATTAACCACCTTCACTATTTCCTTTACATTTTCCTTTCAAAACTTTATTTAATGGCAGTTTTATATTCTCTAAGGTAAAATAAAATCAAAAGTACACAGACCAGCTTACGTACTACAACAGCATAACTGCAGTATTAATTACTACTGTCCACTGCAATCACGTCACTTAATAATAAATGCAAAAGCCCTTTCTTGTATTGGGTCCTTACATATGAAGTTAGCGTTTTTTCATACTGACCACTTTGATCTGTAATATCTCCTCTTTGGTCGAGAATTCCAAATTCAAATTTATAAAATCATTTAGCTGGTACATTTGAGTTTTGAAAACAGTCATTCATTTGTTTTTTCCTCATTATTTTTTTTCTTTGGCATCGCTTATTACTGCACAATGGAAAACATGAAACATCGGTATATTTACGAGTACGAATTCTACTGTGGCACCAGTGCTGTAGAAAAAGCTCGAAGGATAAATTATGTGTACGGCGCTGGTGTCGCAAAAGAAATCACGGTACAATTTCGGTTTCAACATTTTCGTTCTGGAAATTTCGACCTTCAGAACCAACCCTGCAGATGGCTGGAGATCAAAGTGTAAAATGAAGAATCAAAGGCTATTGTGCAAGTGGATGCATCATAAAGCATTTCAGAGATAACTGCAGGCTTCAGGGTAAGTGATAAAACTGTATTAATCCACTTGAAGCGAATCGGAAAAGTAAAAAAAACTTTAAACGATGGGTACCTCATGAATTGAGTGAATCGAACTTGCAAACACACGCTTTTGATGAAAAGTGGATACCATACGATAATCGGAAGCGCTCGTCACAATGGCTGAACCCTGGAGACCCAGCCAAATCCTGCCCTAAACGAAAATTGACTCAGAAAAAGTTACTTGTAAGTGTTTGGTGGACTAGCGCTGTTGTCATTCAGCTTTCTAAAATCTGGCCAAACGATTACGGCAGATATCAATTGTCAGCAACTGCAAACTTGAAGGAAGAACTAGCTGCTAAACAACAGAGATTTGTCAATCACTCTAGGCCACGGATGCTTCACGACAGTGCATGACCACCACACACTGCACAATAAACAACCACTATAGTCAACCAAATCTAAGAACTACCTTTTGACGTTTCACATTAATCATTCAGCAATAACTTTTCACAAGCACTTTCACAGTACTCACACAATTTAAAATAACCATTTACGTAAATCCGAAGAAATATAAAGTTATCTATTTTTCATTAGAACATGTATAGTTTTTTTATGACTAATATAAATTTGAATCTTTCAAACAAAGCAAAATACTTAAAAATAACCAGTATCAACTTTTTGTACTTGACATCGTTTCAATAATATGTCGCTATGTACATTACCGTAGTGTTTGGATGATTAAAATGAATCGTTATGCGAATAATTGGCAAAAATATTCCAATAATCGGTAAAAATATTCAAATAATCGAATAATAATTTTTTTAATGCATTATTTGTTTAATTTAATTTTTATTTTTAAAACTCCTTAAATTACATGAATTATGAATAAAACAAGTTTATTTTTTTTAATTTGTCAACATGAAGGCAAAAAAACTCGTATATAAGTCTGCGATATAAAAACCACTACGTAATTTCAATATCCCGCCATTTCTGGAGCTTACCATGCGTAATTTTGTGATTTTGTGTGTGTTTTCTTATTTTGTGCCCCGGCTTTAACTTTTTGGACTCCATTATTGATAATCTATCAATGATAGCTCAACTAGTTGTACTGAAAGAGATTGAATAAATTTATTTTTAATTTAGTTATAATCTTAACTGATCGAGAGGTCAATCGACGAATTCAACTCGGCTGAGCGTTCGGAAAATTACGACATATCTTCTCGTCAGTTATACCTCAAAACCTGAAAACTAAGTTTTACAACCAGTGCGTGTTGCCAGTGATGACCTACGGAACCGAGAAGTGGTCCTTCACTGCTGGCTGTATGATGACGCTTAAAGAAATAATTACGCGTGGGCTAGGTTTCTCTGCGTGATAAACTTCAAATTGAGGATATCCACAGTATCACCAGAGTGACCGACATAGCCCAACGGATTAATAAGCTGAAGTAGCAATGGGCTGGCCATATAGCTCGAAGAACCGATAACCGTTGTTCTCAAAAGGCAGCCTCGCCGGTAGGCGAAATGTAGGGCGAGCCCCCACTAGATTGAGTGACGACCTGGTAAGACATGCAGGAAGTTGATGGATGCAGGTGGCTCAGGAACGTACTTTGTAGCATACATTGAGGGCGGCCTATGTTCAGCAGTGGACTTGTCTTGTGTATTAAATTATGCGTTTTTAATTTATTATGGTATTATTCAAACCAAACTATAAATGATTACCAACTCTAAACTTTTTAAAAATCGAATATTGTACGTTCCCATTTTTTTGATTGGCATGCCCGGTGCAATAATTCTGATAGCTGTCAAAATGTATTTCTTAGATTTGGTTGACTATAAGTTAGATGAGCTACGATTGGAATGTCTGCGACATCCACCATACTCCCCGGACCTTGCTCCAACAGATTACCATATTTTCTGGAATTTGGACAACTTCTAACAAGGAAAAAAATTCAACTCTGCAGCAGTCCAAACTGCCTTCAAAGAATTTATTAATTCACGCCCCCATGGATTTTTTAGTAAAGGGATCAATGAACTATCTATGAGATGGAAAAAGTGCGTAGATAACAACAGTGCATACTTTGATTAATTAAAACATATTCTACAAAAAAAATTTACTGTGTATTCCTCCGCGAAAAAGGAGCCAATTTCATGTGTAAGGACCTATTAAAAGTGACCCGCAAAGCAGTAGTAGACTTTTATATTCTGATTATATAGACATAAATAATTATAGCAAATGTATGACTCTAATTTGTTTCTTCGTTATTATTATCAAAACCAGAACTATAACCCAATGAAGAGTGAAAAGATGACACTGATGTAAGGACTTACTTTGCTTCTTCTAGATACAGCTGACTCTATCTGAGCTAAAACTGTTCTTATTCCGTGCATTATGTCGATTTCTTGTTCAACCTCTTGTGACATATTATATATTAATTACTTCCCTATATAATATTGTAGACAAAATTTTTACAAAAAATAACCACCTGAAATTGTTCTACATACTTGTTATCATATTTACTCGTTACCATAGATTACTAACTATATACTCGTTACTATACTATGGGTATGTTCCGAAATACAACGCAGTGTACTGTCCAATGCAAATGCAAATGACGTATCGTTTGACACTTTATTGTACTAGCGTGCCGCCGCCATATTGTGTCGGATATCCGGCCATAATAAAACAATTTTTAATTGTGTGTTTACCGAATGAAGCATGCCAGAATTTGTTTTCCATTTATTCAAATACAAAAAATTATAAAATAATTGATGGTTTATCCATTAGGAGGATATAATGATTTTTGGAGCACAAAATGACAAAATAATCGCCAAAACTTTTCCAAATGGCGCAAAAGTATGACGTCATATACTGTCCAATGTTTTGGAACGAATCACCAGTACAGCGCCGATTCATGACGTCATTTGCATTGGACAGTACACTGCGTTGTATTTCAGAACATACCCTATACTCCACAACATAGATAAATAAATACGTAGCTCCACAAACTAACTAGATGGCACAGACTATAAGAGGATACTGGTGGAGCGACGAGCCTAAGGTTACCGAAGTCTAATTCCCCGGTCGAACCCTTAAACCTATTATGCGAGATATTAACCAAAGTGGACTGTATATGCGAAATGCTTCTACGTTTACTTAAAATGGCGACTATAGCACGCGGTTTCCCATACAATGCACTCGCTCTTCCCTAAAACGAACTATTATTTGCCAAATCTATGAAAGGAATCCTGCTTGATTAGGAGAAAATAAATTGGAGCGGACACAATTATATCAAGCAGTAACTAGTAAGGAATATTCACTCACCGGGGTGTTGCTTCTATGCGGCTTGGGCACTAAGTTGCTGCAACTTCTGGAAGACACTCTGGGTAGACTCTCTGGGGCCCCAGCCTTTCTTGTCCGGTGATACGTCTGGAGAAAGTGCGGTGCGCGACTATTTCTCACACGAGGTGAAGCGGGTTTCCTGGAGTTCGACTGCGTCCAGGCTAAAGCGGATATACTAGCGGTGCGCGTGGACACTATTGTCTTAAGCGGTGTGGTTCCAATGACGAGCGCGGCGGGAAGAGAGTGCGCGTCGGCCGCGCGTGCCTTTTATTCCTTCGGTTGCGATGATCGCGTAATATTCTAGAATCATCTTCTCTCCACTCCCACTCCACCACCCCGATGTGTCGATAGGAGGGTAGGAATATTATCGTTTGGAAAGGGATAAACGATTTGGCAAGCCTACCGTCAAATAAAAATAAATACGAATGGTTTTCCGCGCAACCATCTCCCCCGCCCTTGAAGGATTTCCTTCAAAAAAAAAAAATAATTAAAACAACTAGAGCTAAGATCAAACTAACAAAATAACTAACAAACGCTAAGATTACCTAAATTCAACTACAATTTCTAATCTCGAAAGATAATTTAAATTATGGAAGAGGCAAGACAAACGGACAACAGGACGCATGTAAGACCCAACCGTGGTCTTAACGCGAGCTACCCTAATTACTCCGTCGGAACCGGGAAAGACCTCTTCGACAATTCCTAATGGCCAATGGAGAGGCGGCGTATGTTCTTTGGTGAGCACAACTACAGTTCCTACAGCTAAAGGCTCAGTTGCTGTGTTCCATTTTTGTCGAGACTGCAAAGTATGCAAGTATTCCATCCTCCATCGTTTCCAAAACGATTGCACTAACCGGTCTAATAATTTTTGGCGTGCGGAAATGCTAAGTCTATTCTCATCCATGTCTACGGCGGGCAAGTACTTTAAAGGCGTTAAATTCAAAAAATGTGCTGGAGTTAGAGCCAGCGGCTCCGAAGGGTCACTAGACAACGTACGACAAAGTGGGCGGCTATTCATTACGCATTCAATTTGAGCGAGCACCGTACTTAGCTCTTCGAAGGACAAAATTTGATCTCCTATTATTCGGTATAAGTGACTCTTTAGACTCTTAATATTAGTCTCCCAATTGCCCCCAAAATGACTCGCGGCTGGGACGTTCAGAGACCACTCAATGCGGTTCTCGGCTAGAATGTGAGCGAACTCCGAATTATAATACTTGCTAGCTAAGAGCTCATGTAGTTCTGATAAAATACGTTTTGCACCGACGTAGTTCGTACCGTTATCCGAATACAATTTACTTACAGGGCCACGGCGGGAAAGAAATCTTTTAAATGCACCCATAAAGCCTGCTGTGCTTATATCACCAACGAGTTCTATATGCACCGCCATTGTAGTTAGACATACGAAAATGCAGACGTAAGCCTTTGTGGATCTTATACCACGCCCGCGAGTGAGCGTGACCTTAAACGGACCAGCGAAATCAGACCCGGTGTGCGTAAAGGGCTTTACTGATTGTATTACTCTACAAGATCTAAGTTCCGCCATTTCCGGAAATGACTGCTTGGGGCGTACCCGAAAGCAAGCTATACATCTGTGCACCCGATTGCGGATTAAACTACGTGCAGAAAGAATCCAATAATTCTGACGCAAGATCGACATCAGCAAGTCGGGGCCAGCGTGCGAGTTCAATTTATGATGGTAATCGACTAATAAATTCATGATATAAGTCTTTACGCGGTAAAACTATAGGGTGCCGTTGGTCGAAACTCAACTGCGAGTTAGACAAGCGTCCACTTACCCTTACAATCCCATCCTGTAAAAATGGCTTAAGGCGTTGAAAGGCGACAGCTCTATTCGATTGTAATCTTGTAATTTCTTCAGAGAAATGCGCACGTTGAAGTTCACGCAATACTAGCGACTCGGCATAGTTGTAATCGGACGCTAAGACATACGAACGTCGCGGTAAAAGCTTCGCGAATCGACAAACGTAAATTACGCTACGCAATAATTTCGACCAAGAGGACAAACGGTTCGCCAAAGCAATGATTGGAGAAACCTCGCTCGAAACGTTCGTCACTAGAGCGTGTCTCTTCTCTTCCGGCGGTTGTGACACTGACGAAGGTTCGAAATCGGTTATCGGCCATTGCGAGGGATCCAAGTGAACCCAAGAAGGTCCGTGGAACCAAAGCGGGTGGTCCATTATTTGCATCGGGGTGAGTCCACGGGATAGACAATCAACAGGGTTTTCCGTACCGGACACGTGATAAAGGTTCTGCGTTTCTAACTCGTCTTGGATCTTGGCCACTCGGTTCGCGATAAACGTATCCCAACGGTGGGATGAAGAATAAACCCAGCATAAGGCGACGGTGGAGTCGGAAAAAGCAAATGTCCTTTCTATGTGAACTCTATCCCTACATGCGCTGATAACTGCGGTAATAAGCTTGGTGAGTACTAATATTGCGCAAAGCTCTAAGCGCGCCAGAGAGACAACCTTACGGGGGGATACTCTCGACTTAGAACTAATGAGGCTAATCGAATTTCTACCATTATTCTGAACGTGGAAATATACAACGCCCCCCGTAAGCCTTTTCGCTGGCGTCTGCAAACCCAACGACCGTGATGACGCTATTTCTATCGACGTTTATATGACGCGATATTTTAATTTCTCTTAGTAAAGGATGTTCCTCTCTAAAACGCTGCCACAACCGAACAATGCTGTCAGGCGGCGAGTCATCCCAGTCGCATTCTAATAACCAAAGTTGTTTAATCAAAAGCTTAGCGTATACTACCACCGGAGCTACGAAACCCATGACATCCCATAATCTAGCAACGCATGACAGTATTGTGCGCTTTGTGCACTTCTCTACGGGCGGATTTACCTTAAGGCTACGGATTACGTACTTGACGGACTCTGGTGACCAACACAGACCGAGCACCTTGTGTGTATCCGAATCGTCGAATTCCTTTATCGCCGAAAGACGGCGTGATAGTGGGATTGTGTCTAAAACCGGACGCGAATTACTAGTCCACTTGTCAAGATCGAATTGACCCGATTTCATGAGCTTTATAACCTCGGCGGTGGTTAGAGTGGCTTCCTCCACGCTATCGACCGAGTACACAAAATCATCCATATATAATCCACTTTCAATTGCCCTCTTAGCTTTAGGGTAAGAGGGACCTTCATCGTGGGCGAGCTGTCTCACCGTGCGTAACGCATGAAATAGGCTCGACTTTAAACCAAAACAAACGCGTTTAAATTCAAACACCATTAGAGGTTCCTTTGGGTTGAAACGATATAAAATGCGTTGGAATCTACGGTCGCATTCACGGACCCCTATGCAAAGAAACATTTGGCGAATATCGGCGGATAGTGCTATACTAAACAAACGAAAATTGGCTATTATATTAAATAAACTGCCCTGTAAATTTTGCCCACTGTAGAGAATATCGTTAAGCGACAGGTGTGTGCTAGTTTTAGCACTAGCGTCGAGCACTACACGTAACTTAGATGTAAGTTTGTCTTCTCTAATGACCCCGTGGTGTGGTATGAAATACGACGGTGTGTCTTCGTAGTTATCTAATTTCGAAGCCACTAGTGATATGTAACCTTCCCTTAAATATTCGATAATGACGCCGTCATAAGCTTCTTTTAACTGGGGTGAAGCAAGCATCCTATGCTCCAAGCTGTAGAAACGTTTTTCCGCTATTTGACGCGAATCGCCGAGAGATAAAACATCTCCTTTAAAGGGTAGTGCTACACTATATCTACCGTCGCGATCACGAACGGTCGTGCGGACGTAAATTTCCTCGCATAATCTGTCATCTGAGCTAGCTATGGGAGGGACGTTCACCTCCTCCATCTCCCAAAATTTGCGGACTAACGACTCGAGCGGTTCGACAGCCATACCACAATAAGAGGTTGCCGAAATACTATCCACGATGGGGGCGGAGCCAACGATGAAATAGCCCAAGACGGTTTCCAATGCGTAAGGCGCGGTATGCGAGGAGTTGCCCCTGACCTTATTGTTTAACAAAAGATGAGAGAAA